AATGACTTTATGCTCTCGCACGGACTATGCATTGTACACATCCTCGGGCTATCCCTGCCTTGGCCGTCTACCTCTCTCCTTCTCTGATTATTTGTTTAACCTGCCTAGTATTTATCTACGCTGTAAGTGCGCTGGGGAAGGGTGCCTGCAAAGGCCTGCCTGGAGGACGCCACTACCGCACAAGAGCATGAAACAGACAAAAATGACTTTAGCGAAAGCACTGACACTTACAGGGTTTTTGTCTTTGTTTTTGCTTTCCTGCCTTTAAATCCAGGTTTGAGGTTTTCTTTAACTTTTATGTTACAAAAATGAAGAACACCTACAATGGAGTGGCCAAGACCAGACCTCAGTTGGGAGTTTTTTGAGAAAAGGCACTGAAAGGAGACTAGATTACAGCTGTGATTATGCCAAGGAGCCCAGTTTAGGCTGTCCAGGCTTCTAAATGAACTGCAGAGAACAGCCAGTCAACGTACGTGGTACCGCGTTTTACCACAAAAGTCATCTGCCGAAAGCAGAGGGGACCTGTGTCCTGTGACTCATCTGCGGCGCAGCGTGCCCGGGGATTGCTCGGGGGACTCCGGCGCCCTGCTGCTTTTAGCCACGCAGTTAGTGCACGTTCGACAATGGCAGCACTACACTTCTGTACGTCTGCTTGCACCATTTGGAGGAGTCAGGTGGACACCGGACAGCTGGTTGCACGCCGGCCACCACATGCTACAAAAACATAAATGTAGAAGAGATGATCAGCAACATCCCTGATAATTTTCACATGTTTCATTTCATTTGATATCAACTCTGCTTCCACCACCCACCATTGCTCCTATTACTCCAAGCCTTACTGCATCCCTTCTGGAAATGACTGGCACCCAATAAATAAAAATACAGGTTTGGACCCCCTTCTCAATAGGAGACAGTAAACGAGAGTAGTTTGGAGTCGCTACCGATCCGGGGTCCCGCAATTGCGTTGCGTGGGACTCGGCAGCTCAAAGATGGCACTGAGAGACGGAAACTTCACATCAAGTTCGTAAAGAGCAGCCCAAGTCCTGGCCGAATTCCCGTTTGGCTAAAAATAGTCTCGGCTGGAGCCTGCATTTTACTTACTTCCTTTCCTAATTTATTAGTGTCACTATGGGCTGGCAAAAAATCTTCAAGTCTTCATGTTGGGGTGCTCATGCCACATCGGTGGCGACAGCCACTCCAGGTGGCTGCTCCTCTGCTCCAGGAAGCGCATCAGGGGGTGACAGTGCCGGCCCTGCTGCCAAGGAAGCATGTGTCATGGGGCTGAGCATCCTGTGGGGTGTGGGACCCTCATCGGCTGTAGGGCTGAGCCAACGAGGAAAGGTATGCTGCTGGACCTTGTACTAACAAACAAGGAAGGGCTGGTTGGAGATGTGAAGGCTGGGGGCAGCCTTGGCTGCAGTGACCACAAGATGGTGGAGTTCAGGATCCTGCGAGGAGGAAGTAGGGCAATAAGTAGGATCCCAACCCTGGACTTCAGGAGAGCAAACTTTGGCCTCTTCAGGGATCTTCTTGGAAGAATCCCATGAGATCAGGCTGTAGAAGGAAGAGGGGTCCAAGAAAGCTGGTCAATATTCAAGCATCACCTCCTCCAAGCTCCATAACAGTGCATCCCTATGAGCAAGAAGTTGAGCAAAGGGGGCAGGAGACCTGCACGGATGAACAAGAAGCTCCTGGCAAAGCTCAAACATAAGCAGGAAGTGTACAGGAGGTGGAATCAGGGACAGGCCACTTGGGAGGAATATAGGAACGTTGTCAGAGTATGCAGGAATGTGACGAGGAAGGCTAAGGCCCTAAGGCCCATTTGGAATTAAATCTGGCAAGGGATGTCAAGGACAACAAGAAGGGCTTCTTCAAACACATCAAATAGCAAAAGGAAGACTAGGGAAAACGTGGGCCCGCTGCTGAATGGGGCAGGGGTCGAGGCGACAGAGGATACAGAGAAGGCAGAGCTGCTGAATGCCTTCTTTGCTTGAGTCTTTACTGCTAAGGCCAGCCCTAAAGAATCCCAGACCCTGGAAATCAGGGAGAAAGTCTGGAGAAAGAAAGACTCTGCCTTGGTCGAGGAAGATCAAGTTAGAGATCATTTAGGCAAACGTGACACTCACAAGTCCATGGGCCCTGATAAGATGCCCCCCACGAGTGCTGAGGGAGCTGGCAGACATCATTGCTAGGCCACCCTATATCATCTTTGAAAAGACATGGACAACAGGCGAGGTGCCTGAGGACTACAAGATAGCAAATGTCACTCCAGTCTTCAAAAAGGGCAAGAAGGAGGAGCCAGGAAACTACAGGCCTGTCAGCCTCACCTCCATCCCTGGAAAAGTGATGGAACAGCTCATCCTGGAGGCCATCTCTAAGCATGTGAAGGACAAGAAGGTGATCAGCAGTAGTCAGCACGGATTCACCAAAGGGAAATGATGCTTGACCAACCTGGTAGCCTTCTATGATGGGACGACTGGCTGCGCAGATGAGAGGAGAGCAGTGGATGTTGTCTACGTTGGCTTCAGCAAGGCTTTAGACACGGTCTCCCACCACATCCTCCTAGGTAAGCTCAGGAAGTGTGGGTTAGATAAGTGGACAGTGAGATGGATTGAGAACTGGCTGGGTGACAGAGCTCGGAGGGCCGTGATCAGCGGTGCAGTCTAGTTGGAAGCCTGTAGTTAGAGGTGTCCCCCAGGGGTCAGTAGTGGCTCCAGTCTTGTTCAACACATTCATCAGTGACCTGGACGAAGGGACACAGTGCCTCCTCAGCAAGTTTGCTGATCATGCAAAACTAGGAGCAGTGGCTGACACACCAGAGGGCTGTGGTGCCATTCAGAAGGACGTGGACAGGCTGGAGAGC